TGTGTGTGTGTGTTAAGGGGGCTCACTCGATGTGTGTGTGTGTGTTAAGGGGGCTCACTCGATGTGTGTGTGTGTTAAGGGGGCTCACTCGATGTGTGTGTGTTAAAGGGGCTCACTCAATGTGTGTGTGTGTGTTAAGGGGGCTCACTCGATGTGTGTGTGTGTTAAAGGGGCTCACTCGATGTGTGTGTGTGTTAAGGGGGCTCACTCGATGTGTGTGTGTGTTTTTTTTTTAAAAATGTAAAATTTTCTAAATTTAAAAAAAAAATCTTTTATCAATTAATTTTAAAAACATTAATTTGAGTTCGAAATTGCCTCAGGTATGATAGGTACTATAAAACTCAGTCGCTCACACCTTTTGTGCATATCGAAAAATGACGCAAAAACTGTTGTGGCCAATTTACATTCGGCTGGGGGATTACTTCGTTGTTTTGCGCTTTACGTCACAGTTTTCTAATAATACTAAATCTTAATCCATTATGGGAAAATGTTAAAAAATACTATAAAATCTTAGTTTAGTTATGAAAATTTCATGTATGTTTTGATTTTTTAGGTGTGACGTGACACGGGGGCGGGGAGGGGGGGGGGGTTAAAGAATCTGTGACACTTCATGACGGGGGGAGGGGGGTCTAAAAAGGTCATTTTTGGAATGAAGTAATTTACTAATCACCACTTAGGCCTTTACATTTTATCCCCTATCTGCCGTCTCCCTACTGTCAGTTCAGAGTTGTGCGAACTACTAGGGTCGTGTGTAATTGTTAAAGAAAATAATTTGGTGTGTGTTTGTGGGGAGAATGCAGCCGTGGAGGGACCAGTGGATCATATCAATGATTTTTTTTTTTAAAAAGTGTCGTCTTTTTTCGATTACAAGTGACAAATATGAGCACGGCGATTTTTTCTTTCGGCAAGGTACAGAGATTTTTTCCAAAAATGTGTTGTCTCTAGTCTCTAGTATTTGAAAAGCAACACTGGGAAAATCCCCTTGGTTGAAACGGAAAATTCCTATGTAGTTTTTAGTACAAAATATTATGGTACATCCGGGTTATTAGACTGACGAAAGATGGCGGAAATAGTTGGCAACATTTACCGTCGTTATTTATAGAAAAAGTAAGCTGACCAATAACATTGCATAAGTATTTCTTTAATCAGCACAGGATAAAAACAACAGCAATGGTTATATGGTCAACAAGTTATAACTTATTGCTGGCAGACTGAAATTATAAGTCAATAAATATGCGGATGATTCACAGATTTTCTAATTGACCAAGTCTTTTATTTTTATACTTTCAATATTTTAACACAGTAACACTGTGTACAAGTACAAACAAACAACGAATTGGACTTCAAAAAAGACATGGTTTATTATTTAAATTTTAATATAAAAGTTAAATACTAAAATTTAACTAGTCCAACGGAAACTAGACTAGTCTTACAAGGCTTAAATTAAAACTTTAAATTTGTGAGTTTCAAAATTTAACCTTGTTTTGGACTCATTACATAATGAATAATGATTATTTACATTTGCCCGCCCAATATGTCAATGACTCAATATAAATCATAGTCTTATCAAGCAAGGTAGTGATTTATTTTGATTAGTGAATGCAGCAGAAAACCTAAATCAATTTTCAATTAGCAGGCTACAGAAGACAATTTATCAAAATTCTTCTGACTGAATGTAAGTATTTTTAAAGTACCCACAACAAATATTAGTTATTAATACAATTTTAAATCATTCATAAGTATGTTATAGGCCTATTTCAAATAGGTTTAAGACTTTAAGACATACAATACGAAAACATGATGGGCCAAAAATTTATATATTTATGCTTGGCCTAATATTTATGACTTACTATTAATGAGGGCCTAGAAATAATTTAATTAATATTAGTTTATTTAGTTTATAGGCCCAAGCCTAAAATTTTAGCAATTGTTTGACTAAGTAAGCTAAGGTGTAATCCATAAATGATGTCACACATCAAGGGGGGGGGGAAGTGTCACAAATTTTGTGATGATTTGTGATAAAAGTATCTAATTCGTTTTACAAATTTGTTTCAATATGGCCGAGGGGGGGAATCAACCAAAATAGCATGATGTCATTCATATATGGATGGCCCCTAAAAACCAGTTAAGCCTAAGCCTTAGTTAGCCTTACAAGGATAAACCAATGTAAGTGTGGCTTTCCTTTAAGTTATGGAACCTGGCAATTTAAATTTTAATTAAAATTGTTAAAAATATTTTTAGAAATATTAACTTTATATACATTTTTAGTTACAGAAAGTTGTGAATTTTTGTATAACAGGCCAGAAGATATAAACTTAAAAAAAGAATCCCTGTTAACAAGTACAGATAGGGGATGTAACAAAAACATTTATGGGTGTTCAAGTTTACTTCCCCTCCAAAAATAAAACCCCTTCAGTTTGTTAGTGTTGTTGGTGATGCAAAACCTTCAAAGACCAAAATGGGTTGATTACTAGAAATTTACTTTAGGTAAATAATATTTTTTGATGTTCTAAACCTCCCTGTGAGAGTCTATGAAAGAATTTTGATATAATTTGTTTCTATTGTAACCCAAAATTATAAACGCTTTATCCACATGATTGGATTCAGATACCAACCTGGCTGAATGGAGTGTCTTGTTGACATGTTTGGCCCTGATGAAAGTTTCTGTGACACCCAAGCTACCAGACTTCAGTATCATCAAAGTCAGGATTTACAGAGTATGATGGAGGAACTGCCATCCAATCTTCCCCCTGAGGTCAATGCAATGTCTTAACATTTTCCACTTTTCCTTACCATTTTGAGGATAACACTTTTCACATCGAAGTCCTATTAAAAAAATTATTAATTATTTGGCATTAAATTTAAATTAGAAGCAAGTGTTTAATCAGAAGTGAAAATAAATTCCTTCCATCTTTACTTAAACATACTTTTAGTCATTTTACAATATTTATTTTGTAATTGTTTCCAATTTATGCATACTTTCTTTTGTTTATTTTTTCCAGGAGGAAGAAGGAAATATAGAGTATAAGGTAAGCCAAAAGTTATATGTGTTGGAACTTTTTGTTATTACATATTTACTCAAAATAAAAAATGTTGTAGTCATAAGCATTAAAATGTCATTTATAAATTCATAATTATTTTTGTTGCTTCCGGCAGCTCAAGTTGGTGAAACCATCAGACTTTAGAATGGAGCATCTTGTGACACAAATGAAATGGAGGCTAGAGGAAGGACATGGAGAGGCCATTTATGAAATTGGAGTGGAGGACAGTGGATTTCTAGCAGGACTTTCGGATACAGAACTTGATGCTTCACTGGCGACCCTCAGTAAAATGGCTGAAAGGTTGGTAAACAAAGCAGAATCGTGATAGTTCTTATTTAGGGAATAAATTTGTTGATCATTTTTTAACATGTGTTTAATGTATTTGAAGGCACGGCCATGTAGTTTGAAAAACATGTTTATGCTAGTCTACAGGACTTAATAGTGTCTTTTTTATGTTAGTGCAGTGTCTTGTTTTGAAAAATTAATTTAATTTGTTTCTATTTGTGGGTTTTCCGCTGTGGAAACTCCCTTAAAATGTAATGTATAAGATTAGAGCTTAGCTTCTTTTCTCACCAAACAGTAGTTTAACTTTACATAGTTCATTTTGAGACACAGTTTAACTTCACATAGTTCACTTTGAGACACAGTTTAACTTCACATAGTTCACTTTGAGACACAGTTTAACTTCACATAGTTCACTTTGAGACACAGTTTAACTTCACATAGTTCACTTTGAGACACAGTTCCATCTCACAAAGTTCACCTTGAGATAAGTTCCACCTCATATAATTCACTTTGAGACACAATTTAAGTTTACAAAGTTCACTTTGAGACACAGTTCCATCTCACAAAGTTCACTTTGAGACACAGTTCCACTTCACATAGTTCACTTTGAGACACTCTGTGTTCCACTTCACATAGATTACTTTCAGACACAGTTCCACTTCACATATTTCACTTTGAATTTAGTAACATATTTGTACTTTCTCAAGATTGGGTGCTTCTTTGGAGATCTTACGTGAGAAAGTTACAGAAGTTGGCCAGAGAAAAAGAGCAATGGAAGTGTTAGTCAGGAAGGTGCCCGATGATCAGCAGGTAATCATACAGTGTCTTAATGCAGTCATTTTTTGCTTATAATATCAGGTTATATTACAGGCTCATAAAAAATTAACTCATATGAAAGGCTATACACTGACAAAGATCAACTGGTGAAGTAAGACCTACAAATGTTTCACGATCTCTTCAGAATAAAGAGCACATGGAAAAATGATCACTGGATCATCATGATGATAAGTTGATTACAAATAAGGAGAACATCTGTGACTCACTACATTGACACATTAGAATCACTACATTTACACATGTTAGACTCACTACATTGACACGTTAGAATCACTACATTTACACAAGTGAGACTCACTACATTGATACGTTAGAATCACTACATTTACACATGTTAGACTCACTACATTGACACGTTAGAATTACTACATTTACACATGTTAGACTCACTACATTGACACGTTAGAATCACTACATTTACACAAGTGAGACTCACTACATTGACACGCTAGAATCACTACACTACATTTACACATGTTTGACTCACTACATTGACTTGCAAGATGTACTCATATTAGAATTATTTACCCTGACTCGTGCAGACTCATTTCATTGATTCTTATTATGGTCACTCTTGATATGGTCTGATAACATACAAAATAATCCATTTCTCTAAATAAAACAAAACATACCATGACATACAAAATCGATACTATTTAAATAAGTTATAAGTTTGACTTTAGATGTCTAGTTACGTGCTAATTGTCACAGCATATTTCATTTCCCTTGTTCAGTTTATAGATCTGAAGCTTGCAGTACTGGGTAATGTTGATGTTGGCAAAAGTACATTACTTGGTGTCCTCACTCAGGGGGAGTTGGACAACGGACGGGGGAGGGCAAGACTTAACTTGTTCAGACATTTACATGAGATCCAATCTGGCAGGACCTCCAGTATCAGCTATGAGATCTTGGGATTTGATGGTCATGGCCAGGTGAGTCAGCCCTATGATAGCAGTAATTTTGTTAGTTTTAGTCTTTATAACTATGTGAATGGCAATATGCCTGTCTCACTGCTGTGTATGTTTTAGTGCTTTGTCTGATCTTGTTTTTCACTAAGACACAAGTTAAACATGCTTGGTAAAATGAGTAAAACAAAATAGGGTTAAACCTGAAAAAATAAACGCAACAAAACAGCGAACGTGTCGACAGAAAGCATTCGTTAGCGAACAAAACAACAGAAAAACGGTATACAAATAAAAATAAGAAATATTTCGTATTTCTTATTTTTATTTGTATACCGTTTTATTTTGTACTAACCTGATTGCAGTCTCTCCCCTTATTACCCCTAAACATGCTTGGTATATTCTTCACAATATGACAATTTGAATCAGTAATTACAATAAATAGGATAGAATTGATCTACTGAAAATTGCTGCTCTAAATAAATTAAATATTTCTTATAAAATATCTTTATGTCACAGGTTGTGAATTACGGTGCTTGTCGCAGTGTTGAAGAAATCTGTGAGAAATCCAGCAAACTAATAACATTAATAGATCTGGCAGGACACCATAAATATCTGAAGACCACTATTTTTGGACTCACTGGAAACTGCCCTGATTTCGCCATGCTTGTCGTCAGTGCAAATACAGGAATAGGTAAGAAGGGAGTTTCTCTACTATTGGACGGACATTTATTTTTGCAGGAAGCTTTGTAAGAGTATAAAGAAGGGGGACTATGATGGAAGTGGTAAACTTTTCTTAAACTAGTAATTCTTTCCCTTTGCGTTCAACGTTGATGACAATAAATGTCCTTATTTTGAGAGCTACATTCTGTTTGTTTGATCTCCAGCTGGCACCACAAGGGAACATTTAGGCTATGCATTAGCTCTGGATGTGCCAGTTTTTGTGGTGGTCAATAAAGTGGACATGTGTCGTCCAGAGATTCTAGAGAAGACACTGCTCCAGCTTGAACAGATTCTTAAGTCACCGGGGGTCAAGCGGATACCCATACGGATACACAACTCTGACGATGCCATCACTGCAGCAAGCAGCCTGGAGGCCAAAAAGTGAGATTCTGGAGTTTTGTATTAGGAGATAAAAGGTTTTTTATTCATTGGAGATTTTACTTAACAGAATTATTATTTAATGGTGATTTTTAATATATTCTAAATCCTTTATATTGCATCTATTTTTATGTGTTACATAATTTGTGGAAAAAAATTCCAGGTTAATTTATAGTTTTTTTTTGTACAAATTAAGAATGTACCAGATATCGAATAAATGTGTTATAAATATTTTATCTGACACTTTATAAACTAAAGAACTTTTATATGTCTCTCTCTGCAGCACAACACCAATTTTTATGGTTTCATGTGTGACTGGAGAAAACCTTGACCTATTAAAACAGTTTCTGAACATTTTGCCACCTGTAACACCACACAGTGAAAGGGAAAGGTTGGCCCAGGACATGACAGAGTTTCAGATCGATGAACTTTTTACTGTGCCGGATGTTGGCACGGTGGTAGGGGGCATCATTCTCAGGTAGCTGCAGGCAGTTTGACTGTATATTTTTAAGTACGGTACAAGTTTTAGAACGACATGCTGGTGATTTTAAGAGCAGTTCGCACAGTTCAATTTGAAATCTTTATTTTAAAGAATTGACAGTTTACTTATCGAGTATTTATTTTTTAAACAACCATGTTTTCGACACAATTAATGTATACAACTTACCATAGTGTAGTAATTCCACAAAGATATATCGATGTACAGAAAACTTCTGAAACTTTGTATGGCTTGGTCAAGGATTAAGTCAGGGTTCAAATTTTTCCATCTGAACTGAAAGAAGTAACATTGAGAGGAATTCAGAAATTTTATTTTTGAGCTAATACAGATGTTTCAGTTATGGCTAAAGATAGTTTTCTGTTGCAGTTTTACTTCCCGTGAATCTAAAAAGTCATGTCCTTAACTGAAACCCAGAAACAATTCAACTATTGAGTTTTAAAAGACTCTGATGTCACTAGTGTTCTAGATCTAACATTTGAGTTATACATTTTTACAGACAGATAATTTACACTGTATACAAGACAATGTATACTGGGTTTTATACAAGATAATGCACACTGAGTTTTATACAAGATTTAGCTGTGAGGTTATCTTAAAAACACTGCGTCAGATAACTAAATTTAACATTCAAATGAAAGCAATATGGATCATATTTTTTTTTCTACAGAGGATCAATACGGGAAGGTGATCGTCTTATGCTGGGCCCCAGTGATGATGGAAACTTTAAGGAAGTCAAAGTTAAAACCGTCCATAGAAACCGCTTACCATGCAGACTGATACAGGCTGGACAGGCCGCATGTGTGGCGTTGACAGATGTGGAGAGGGAGGAGCTTAGAAAGGTAACATTTCTGAGCCTGATCATTGATTATTCATTTCTTATCTCAATCCAAAAAAAACATGTTTGATGCCATACTTCGTCTAAAAATTGCTGATAAAAAAACTCTTATAAATTATAAACATTAATTTTGTTTAAAATTTGAACTTTGAAGAAAAGTATAAGTTATGATTTCATTTACAAAATTAATTGATTTAAAATAATTATGAAAATTGTTGTTAAAATGTAAATGTCAGGCAATAGTTGATAGATGTCAGGCAATCCTTGATTGTTGTAATTGTTAAAGCCTATCCCGTTTCCTTCTAACTGGTCCATGATTGTGTCTCAGGGCATGGTGCTGCTCAGTCCTGACGCCCCGTTAGATTGTTGCATGGAGTTCGAGGCTGACATCTATGTGTTGTTTCACAGTAAATACATCACAACCAACTTCCAGACGACAATTCACATAGGGACAGTGTGCCAGACTGGTTATATAACCAAAATAGATAGGGTGAGCTTTGATTTATTTTTTCTTTAGAATACAGCCCTTGGGTAAAACAGCAATAACAGCCCTTGGGTAAAACAGCAATAACAGCCCTTGGGTAAAACAGCAATGACGCTGGTTTTATTTGATCTTTTGTTGAGCTCTCTTACCCGTTCAACATTTAAAAGTTTTTTTTTTTTTTTTTTAAAGGTGTGTGGAGATAGCAAATTTTTTTTCAGCAAAGTACTATAGTTGTAGTTACACGAATTTGATACAATTTGGAAATATTTGTTTATTTTATTTTATTTTTTTTTTAGTTTTTTTACCCGTTCAAAATTTAAAAGTTTTTTTTTTTTTTTTTTTAAAGGTGTGTGGAGATAGCAAATTTTATTTCAGCAAAGTACTATAGTTGTAGTTACACGAATTTGATACAATTTGGAAATATTTGTTTCTCCAGGAACACATAAAGACAAATGAGAAAGCCAGAGTGACCTTCAGTTTTAAATTCAAACCAGAACATATACGAGTAGGTGCCAGACTGCTGTTCCGAGATGGGAGGTCAAAGGGGATGGGGGAAGTTGTAAGAATCACACCCCTGGAGGATGTCAACCGTTGACTAGGAAAGAGTGTGAAAAAGAAAAAGACACTTTCTCGGCTAGACTGAGACTACAAGAGTCAAGGCCCTTGGCCTGGGATCTCCTAACGACATGGGTCATTGAGATGATTGTAAGAGGCACTCGTCCACTCAATAGATCACGTTCTTTATATCAAAGCCAGATTTCTGTAGTCATCATCTGATCTTTGACCTTTTCCCTATCATTACCGGTGTTTAGATTTATCAGATCGACCATATCATTGAGCCATTCTGGATGCCTAATATAAGAATGGTTCAAATTTGTACAGTGGGTGATTTAAAAAAAAAAAAAAGCAGTGCAATATTCCAATTATGTCTTTTGCATATAAGGAATTTGTTTTTAAAAAATTATTAAAACTTCAAATGAAGTTTGGATGCAAAGAAAAATCAAGCATTAAATCTATTTACATTAATAGTAGTATTATCTAATGCTATCATAATTTTTATAACAAGTAATAATAATATGAGAAATTTTTCTTATAAGGCTCTGCTAACTTTGATTCTTCATGTTAGAGATAAGCATTGTGACTCACCAAATACCCGACATCCTCATCCCCTATGTCAAGTTTCATCCTACAGCTCAGCCAGTGGCAACTTGTAGCAACTGGTTAGTTTACCATTTTACCACTCAGCACATCAACCATTTTATTAATTGTATTGTTGACTGGACTGAGACATTACGGTTTTTTACTTTGAGGCAATACGTATGTGAGGGCCACTATTATTTAATGCTCTAGAGGGTCAGAGAAACAGTTCATGCTAAATAAGTTTATATTTAATTGTAATTATGCAATCATTATAATAGCCATGAGGTGCAGGCATTACAAAAAAAATCAAATCTATATAAAAAACGCATGGTATATTATAATCAAATCATAATTATTAAATATAAACGTACACCTTAAAAAGGGGGAAAGTTTTGGCTGGCTTCATAATGAAACAATTTATCGGGTAACTATTCTCCTGTGAATAGAATGCTGTATTCTCTAAATAACTCATTACAACTTTAGATATCTGCCCATGGCAGGTACGGATTATAAAACATATTTGTATCAGGGTGAAACAAAATCAAATTCGCTTGATTGGGATCTGAGAAAACCACCACAGATAGGGCAATCCAGTGAAAAGCTGATATTAATCATAATTAATGGTAATGGTACAACATCTGATTAATCTGTAAGTGTTGGACAGTCTGTGGTGCCAGCTATTCTTGTCAAAGCATTCAAAAGTCAACAAAATGTTAACCGTGTAACTCAATGACAGGGTAAATTTTAGTGAGACTATGCAAAAAAAAAGTGATATTCCATATATTGCATTCTAATTGTTAAAATCATAAATTGTCTTGCAAAAATTAAAGAAATAACATCCACAAAAAAAAGTGATATTCCATATATTGCATTCTAATTGTTAAAATCATAAATTGTCTTGCAAAAATTAAAGAAATAACATCCACAAAAAAAAGAAAAAGAAAGTTAAGTCTGAAATATAATGAAACAACTTTGATAATTACTCATATAACAAATGTAATATAAAAAATAATAAAGTCTTGGGTTACACGGTTACTAAAAATATGTTTAAAAAAATTAATGACTTTACAATGAAGAAAAATATTTTAAAAAATTACTTGGTTTTAGTTTTAAGAAAAAAAACTATAAAAATTATTTTTATTTTAAGGTTAAGGTAACAAAGTGCAAATTTATTGTAAAACAAGCTGTGAACATTTATTAAAAACAAACTTGAACAAATTGAACAATTTAATGTGTTTTTTTTTTGTCTAACATTTATCTTTGTGATACATGACATTTTAAAAAAAAATCTGTTCTAAATATTTGTTGAAAGAAATATTAGGAATTATTTTCCCCAGTTCATGTTATTTCATTATTACCAGGCCAACAGCTGTCTTAAAACTTTTATAATACTTGATTTTTGCTGTGAGCTGGCTATGTTGATTTTTATTTGTACATATTTCACTTTAAATTTTTAACTGCTATTGAAATCTATACGGATGTGGTGCTGTCTTTCTATTATTACTTGTTGCCAGGATTAGTTACTTAAAAAGTACTAAGAAGTTTTTAGATTTTTAAATATTTTAGTCAAATAACATATATTAGTTTATACCGTTTTTTTTATTATAGTTGCTATTTTGTTGGTTAGCTACTTTGGTGGTTATTCACCATGGGTGATTTTGTATGTGTATACACCTGCATGGGGGTTGGAGGAATGAAGACAGGGGGATATAATAAATAAAGACGGCTGCCTTTTACTTCCTGAAATCAAGATTGTCTTTTTATTATTAACAACACTAGAAGACAGCCTTACCAACCACCGTCTTAATATACTCTAATACAGAATAGGAAATTTCTAAAAATTTGGTAACCCCCTTTTAAAGGGATTTTAAGCTATAGTTTGGCTTATTTTCATGTTTTGGAAAAGAAAGCATCTTATCATAATGTATTGGTATCTATTATTTTAATTCTACCCAGTCAATAACGTTCCTTTGTTACAAACAAATCTATTAAAAGTACCCAAAAAGTTTGAACGAGAATTGCATTTTCTTTCCCCACATACATATTCTAAAAATAAATTTTCATTAAACTACAAAGCAAAACTTGGATCATTCCCTGTGTTGTTTCCCACAAATCAATTATCAAGCTCTTCAGTTCTGTTTTTGAAATAATGAAAAAAATGATTTCAGTTTTTTTGTTTTTTTTTAAATTATACTTCATAATATTAAGCACAATTCATGAGTCACATTCAACTCGTTGATGTACACTAGGTGTGAATAGATTACACAAAATTTCCTTCTCTTTTATGTTGGATGAATTCTTAAAAATGTTTTCTTTTAATAAAGTTTGACCAAATTCTTAAAGAATTTCGATGTTATCTTTATGATTTTGTCTTCTAGAAGTCACAAATAAACTTACAAATATAATCAACAGTACTTTATATATCACCTTAGGCCTTGCTTACAGTTTGCACAGTTGAATAATTTTTGATGTATGGATTATGATGATTGGACTTGGTAAGATAATGAGTAATAGGTGTTTGTATAAATAACATGTTGACATAGAACCAGACTAATTTAAATGATCCAATTCATAGATATTGATCATCATAATTGATTTTCTAATAGCTTTTTGTACAAAAGAAGACATTCACTCATAAAAATAAAAAACAACTAAGAAAATTTTCATGAATTTCTTTTTTTAATTTAGAGATTTTTTTTGTGCATCAAAGTACATAGAATTTTTTTTTTTAAAAAACATACTTTGTAGATATAAATTTTAAAATGATACAAAAAAGTTTTTGTGCAAATTTTACATTGGCATCATTTGTACAACTATTAAAATTGTTAATTTTTATACTCAACAAATGTATAATAAATTTAAATTACGTCAAAGTCATGAATGCTTCACAGAATGTTCTGTGTACTAGGTAAGTCCAGCCTTACATGCACACTCATTATGTCAATGGTCATCTTGTGGGTTTGTATTTTAAACAATCAAATGCTATAAGAGTAAGCACTGTAGACTTATTTTAAATGCAATCCCCACATTTAGGTGAATACATATGGCAAAGTTTAGTTATAATTAACTCACACTGATATTATCCAACAACCTTACATTAGAGGTTATATATATCTCACAAAAGTTGCACATTTAACAATATAACTTTTTTTTTAGCTTGGAATAAAGGAAGAAAAAATCTGTTTAAGCCTTTTAGAGGTCTCACAGTTGTTGCCCTGCATGTTTTAGAAGAGAGAGTTGTTTCCTAAAAATTCAAAATTTCAATAAAATATTGATGTAGTTTTCTTTACAATTGGAATGATCAGTCTTTTCAACAAGAGCAACTCACACATATACCAGATAGTTTTTTTTAAAGTTTTTTTTAAATCGCATATTAATGCTCAGTTGATTCAATATAACTTTAAAATCCAAAATAATTGATGCAAGTTGGTAAAGACCAAAAAAATATACTTATGGAAGCACTCATTGTATTTAATTAATAAGAGATTAAGTTTGTGAAAATTTCAAAAATAACTTTTTTTAAGAAACACAAAAAAGAAAATCGGTTCAGTTAGTAAAATCTGATAAAAAAAAGAAAATGAAAAAAAAAAAACCCAAGTAAATCTATGAATTTATTAGTTACCATAGTAAAATCAATTTTTCCGTTGATGCAATTTTTAGAAATAAAATAAGTCCAAAATGATTTTTATGTAACATACATTATACCAGATTTATATGGCACATTACAGCAGTAGTTTTCAATTGCATTACTTCCATCACAAAAATTTTTTGCCAATTATGAATTTTCTCAAATTTAATTTCCATGACATTTTAATTGAACTTTACACAAATTTCTAACTAAGAATTAATCACACAAGAATATTCAATACTCATTGAACCTGTATACATCCTTTAGAAATATGTAAAACTGGCTACTGGGAAATGGGTCTAATGCACTCCACTTGCTGTCCTCTTGATGTCCTCTTGGATGCAACATTTCAGCTAAGTTTTTATTTTAATTTTTTTGTGGATTTTTGTTTGCACTCTTCACTGAAGAAGGCGTTTTGCCGACACGTTTGTTGTTTTCTTGCATCCTTCTTCAAGCTTTCCCATACCTTGATTTACATATTTCCTTTTTACTTAACCTGATTGCAGTCTCCCCCATTTTTATCATACACTTGCCTTGCGCAACTTTAATTTTATCATCAACAAATCTTACTTGCTATACATTTAATTTCCAAAAAGCCACCTTGAAAATATACTTTTTCAGTAAGTCAGGCAAACCAAATCTATTGAATTGAGATCCTTGAATTAATTCTGTAGACATATTCACTCTTTACATTACCATGCTTATTTATAGGTCAGAGAAACTTTAATATGAGTCTTTAATGGTAATAAAATGCCTTACAACTCATTACATTTGTGGACAACCTGCTTTGCTGACAACATCTTTGCCTGCTCCATACAATGTCAATTTCTGTAGCTTACATCTGCCCCCTTATTGTGCTATATCATCTCTGATTCGCATTGACTGAAAAGGAAATTTAAAAAAGAATTTATCAATTCCAAAATGTTTAAAATGGAGTTGTCTTGTTTTTATGTTCAACTAAAATTTAATATCTCTAAGCTATGGGTAGTTTAAGAAGGTTTAAGGATAAAATATGTTTCAATACCTTTTTGCAGAATGGTTTGCCTGGCTCTGACAAAAGCTTGAATGTCTGCATCAACTTTACTGTCCCCAGTCAACATGAAACCCCCTACAGTTGTAGCTGGTGGGGGCAAACTGGCAAGTACAGGAATAGCAGATTGCAACTCATGTCATTACAATAAAAAATACTTTCCGTAAATAATCATAGGTAATGAAGAGAAAAGTCATGCTTAACATTTCAAAAAAATTAAGAGTTCCTGATTATCTTTATGAAAAGGAAACATACATATGTGTTTATTTGTGTGCTGTAGATGAACGTGTACAATGTAATAAAAAACATTTCCATTAGTTTGGACCAATTAAAAAATGTTATATTATAGAAATGTCACTAATATACATTTAAAAGTAATAATTTTGTTTTGTTCCTTTGATAAACAAAAATTAGCAGAAAATAATTTTCAAAAACAAGTGGTATTGGAAGTAAAAAAGAATTGAAAAAAATTATTAAATTAAAAAAAGTATGTGTGACACAATTCATTTGCTGCCCACGGAGACTACTTCTAAGCTAAGTGTTATTTTTTAATCTTATACTGTTTTTTCTGTTGTTTTGTTCGCTGACGAAGGCTTCCTGCTGACATGTTCTTTGTTTTTTTCATTCCATTTTTCAGGTTTAACCCTAATTTTTTTTACTCATTTTAGCTTGTAACTACTAGGGAAATATATTCTCTTGTAAACTTGTAGCTACTAGGTAAATACATTACCTTGGTGGTCTATGATGAAATGAGTCTGTAACAGATGATGTCGAGTCTCTGGTAAATGTACGATTTGATGGTAGTGCATCTAATGGTGTAGCCACTGAGGGTGTGACAGGTGGAGTCTTCCAAGCTGATGAGACTTTGTGAACTGCTGACGGTGGTTCATCTTTCGATTTCTGTTTTTGTAAGAAATGAATTGAACATTATACATAATTACTCTAAATGTTTCTTATTGTAAGTTCCCAAACAAACACCATGTCAAAGTCTCTTTGACTTTGCAGAAAGAGGGAATTTCATGAAAGAAAATTAAGTAGTTTATCGCTATATCTTGACCAGTGCTCCCAAAAAATGTGTGCAAACAAAATAACCAACCAAAACACAGGTGAAATGGAGCTTCTGCACACAAACTTTAACTTTTAAGGGGTATTCTCTATGCCCTGATAGGCACAGTGAACATTCTCTCATATAAGATAAGATAAGATTCTTTTATTGATCCAAATAAATGGAAATCTTTTTTGATTGCATTATACATTTTCAGCACAAAAATAAAACAATTTGAACACAAGACATTCATAATAAATTATTTCAAACAGCCATTCAGTGAGTTCTCTTAGCAAAATCGGGGACTTATTAGTTCTCATTCAGATGTGTGACTTCAGAGGAAGCACGCCGGTAAATTTGTACAGATTGGGGAACAAAAGAATTTTTATATCGGTCAGTCCTCGCCCTGATGGAAAGAATTCATCCCGAACGGCCCGATCCTAAGTATCTAGGATGAAGAGGGTGGGATGTATCATCCAAAATGTGTTTAGTTTTGCAAAAACATCTTTCTTCAAATTGTTCTTCAAGTGAAGGATGTTTAGTTTGTGTTATGTTTCTAGCTTTCTTGATTAGATTAGATATAGAGATTGTTTAAAATTTACAGGGAGCTTGCTACAAGGTGCATATTGAGTTATTGTGCTTTGATTTAGTTCTGGGAATATTCAATTGTTTGGCAAGGAAAACACATAAATATATCTCCAGATCAGACTGTGAGAAAATCGAGGCAAATGAGGGTGGTGATTACCACCTAACAAAGTGTCCAAGCTGCCGAAGAAAAAGATCTCCTGAATGTGTGAGAAAAAAATAGGGTAAGACAACAAACCATTGATCTCTAGTAGAAATTGTTGGGACTAAGAATATTCATTCACGACAAGAATCAGTTTTATTATCAGTCACATGTTGAAGTTGTAAAGCTACAGAGCAAGTCTCTGTTTGCTCAACCTAATCAAGGTTACCTGCTGCTGGCTATTGGACAACTGCTCTGCCCACCACAGCTCAAATTCCTTCATCAGTTTCACCTTGGACTTCTCTAGAAGATGTTGCAGATGTTCAATCTCTGTTTTCATGGATCTTAGAGAGGTAAACACGCCTTTGTATCTGTTTGCAAGAGGAGGAACAAAATACCCAGAAATATATTAACATTGTTAAATATTATCTTAGCAAGAGCAACATTGCACCATGATCTCAATTGCAGTTACAGTAACACCTCGAATATCACGAGGTTACGTTCTGAGACCCCCTCCCCCCTCCCAAACCATGTGATATGTGAAAAAACTGTGAAGTAGGATTCATACATTGACATATTTTAAACCTTAACAAACTCTTAACACACTGTTGAACATCTTCCCCACAATTTTATGAATCTTTTCAACACTCTCAGGAACACTTGTGCTCTTAAACACTTCACAGTACAGTAACATAACACTCTTAATAATATATGCAAGAAAATGAAAATATTATTGAAAAAAAATTATTCTAGGAGAAAACCCACGAAAGCGTGAGGACATCAAATGCGAAGAGTGAAGTACATCTTATGTATACATTTAAATACAATGTGAAATTAGAACAACCAAACATCTCTTACATATATTTTGTCTCTAGTGTGGCTGCTTCCTTTTCACAACCGGCCCTCCCCCAACTCAACGTGTTTTATATTAATTGTACTGGGTGGAAAAAAAAAAGCTTTCAAGCAGTGAGCGTCGTGTGTGACGGTTGAACTCAGGTAAAAGGGTTGAGTTTTTTCAGAGGTGACTATTATATTAATCAATAAAGAGCTACGGGTATGGTATAGTACTGTCTGTAGGACTGCCTGTAGGACATTTTGTAGGCCTATTGTTTAAAGGCTGGCATATATTTTAGAAAATGAGAAGTTAACTCTTTTTTCTAACACTTGGACCCACCAGGTATTTTCTCAAAATA